CCAGTGAGCTCTAGTTCCTTTGCTTGAACACTAGAATTTAGAAATAAAGATCTGAGTGCTGGTTGTGCTCATTGCTTTGGGAGTCAGTTTCTCCAAAGTCCTGTCAGAGCTGGAGTACATATGTATATAAATATACAAATGCACCCATTTGTATCTATGTTTATTTATTACAATTCTTAATTTTCCATACCTCTAATTCCAATTTACCACAAGAAGATTCATGCTTGTTTCCTTCCTTTACATATTTGTCCTCCATTTCTGACAGTGAGAAAACTAGCCTCCATTATCCTTAATTTATATACTTATTTGATCAATCTCCCAGTATAGTTCCAATCTGCCATCATTGCCTCTAACTCCATCCACACAGGTTTTCTCCTTATCCTACTTGAACTCAGACACTCCACAATAGGCTGGTAGAGTGGCCAGATTTAGCAAATAAAAATAAAGGATGACAGGTTTAATTTGATTTTCATAAAACACTAATTTTTCTTAGTGTGAATATTTCCAATGCAATATTTAGAATGTATTAATAGTAAAAATCTGCTGTTTATCTGAGATTCAAATTTAACTCAGTGTCCTGTATTTATTTGTCAACCTACAGGCTGGCCCTCCACTTGGACACCCTTTCACCCTGCTCAGATTTTGAAACCCAGCTCTGGGCTTCTCCCATGTGTGAATTTCCTCTTTATTCAACTAGAACCCTGATCCCAACCATGCCAGATCATCTTCCCCATATTAAAGCCCTCCTCACCTCATGTGAAACTGCCCCTAACCATGGATGCCCCCTTACTTGCTTAGATTCTGAAACCTCTTGTCAAGTCACCCCTATAGTGACTTCTTTCCTCATTTTGCTTGGGCTCTGACATTTGGTGTTAGAACATCCCTCCATGGATGCCTTCCTCACCAGCTCAGACTTAGATACCCTATGTCAGACTTCTCCTTTTTATCTCATATGATACTCTCCTCACCTTGCTTGGGCACAGATGCCACATACTGAGCCACCCCTGCATGCACTGATATCCCTCCATCTTGCCCTGGCTCTGATATCCCAAGCCAGACCTCATACAATGATACTTCATTCTGTGTGGGCTCTGACTTCCCATACTAGGCCATTCCTCTACATGGACAGCATCCTCACCGTGCTTAGGTTGTCTCTCTATGCCCACTGTACCTGGTGTTGATCCTTTGTCATCTTGTTTAAGCTCTAACATATCACATGTGTCTCATTTGGCTGCTCTTCTGTGTAGATGCCTAGCTCCCACTGACCTACCCAATGACTTGAGGATTGAACTTTTAAAGAAGAGAGAAAGAAGTAGAAGAGGAAGAGCAAAACTGTGCATCTTGACTCAAGTGAAGCAAGAGCAGAAACGTTAGAATGGATAACCCCAGCAGTGGTGTTACAAGTGTTACAGTGGAACTGTCAATTGGCTTTTAAAAAAATTTTTAAGCACAAAAGCATACTGTTTACTTACTGACTAAATGTGTCCCCTACCACATTCCTCTAAGCACTGTATATTTCAGGCATAGTCATACTTTTGGAGTATAGTCTCATATTTGGAAAAACTAAAACAAAAATTTAATCAAACATATTTTCTACTTTTTTCCTAAATATTTGGAGATGTTAGTTTTTTTTTTGGGAAAAACAACAGAAAAGGGAAAAACTGCTACTTTTTTTCTTTATAAGTATTTCAGAATATCTTGTCCTTTAAGTAGTTGTCAAACAGGCTGCTATTCAGGAATTAACTGTGAAACTTTTTCAGGGTAAAACTTATTTCTACTTCCTTCTTTCTGACACTCTGGTATGTCCTCAGGGGAAGGAATGGAGTAAGGGAGAACAGAAAAGGCTCTGCAGTTAAGAAAAATCTAAAGATGATACTGTATCACTGCTCTTTTGATAATATAACATTCTGATCAAAGGAACAAGGCAATAACAAACTAGTGTTCAATCAACTCATTCTTGGGACATTCATTATATCCCAATGTATTATCCATTTTTTCATGTTTAAGGTTTTAAAAAAAAATCTTACTGCATAGAAAATCTGTACATTTGTCACGTCTGCCACATCGAGTACAAAATATTCCTTGTTGATAAGGTCTTCTTGTCAGAGTTCCTCTACAAACAAAAATGCAGAAAACATTGTTAGAAGAGGTTTCAATTTTTACATGTTGTTATAATAACATGGTTACTAATTTGTATTTAGTTTATGAAGGTGAGTTAATTAAGAAAATATTCTTAAGGAAATACTTTAATTAGAGATGCAATCTTTCCCCTTTGTTCCTCCCCTGAAAACAGTCTCTTCTGAAATTATTTCCCATGTTCTTGAAACAAAATATTGTAATTTGAATAAAAGAATGAGTTTTAAATCCTCTTTCATTTTAGTTTCTTTCATTTTTAAAAATGGGGCTATAGAATGTTTTATAATTAATTGTTTTCTGGTTGGCACACATATATACAAAGTTTTGTAGAAATGGTATATTAATTATTGGCATCTACATAAAAATACATAAATATATAAAAAAGCGGATAAATATAAATGGGATTATATGAAGTTGATTTAATCCATAGTACAGAGCAGAAGACAGAGGTGAGAAATAATTATGTCAACTGCCCAGAGCTACATAAGAAAAAAGGCCCCACAGTAGATTTAATTTGGGAAATTGATATAAAGGATCTAGGATAAGAAAGAGAATACAGGTAGGGAAAAGATAATTTGGGTCAGAGGGAAGGTCATTAATCCTGGCAATTTAAACAGGATTGCCTACTTACTTAGTTTACAGTTGGAAGTGATAAAAATAAACATTTGTCATACAAGTTCTTAGATAGGCTACATTAGGCCATTTAGAAGAATGGCCAGACTTAAGAAATAGATATTTAAACGCCTGATAATCAAATTTTTGAGGCATATTTTATTCAATCAGACAATTCTGATGGTACCTAATAAGGTATCTGATATCTTTGAAATGCAAGCATTCAAGTCCATCCAGAGGCTTGTGATTATTTGCAGATCATATATCACATCTCCAATTTCACTGTTTGATTATCAAGCTATCTCAAGGAAGAAATACATTTTGTTTAGAACCTGGCCAGAGCAGCAACCTTCCAGAAACTCAAGAATTATTTACTGAAACAAATGCCTCCAACACAAAAGCAGAGTTTATCATATTCTAATGCGGGATAGGGGAATGCAGTGCTTACACCTATGCAAAAAGCTAAACATTATAAAGACTGACTTTGAGACCTGGAACATAGATCAATCAGCCTGTAATCATAACATCTGATAACTGTATCCTGGATAAACTCTGGGAAGGTAAAGAAATACATAAATACATACAAACAAAAATAAAAATAAGTAAACCCACACTGTGCTAGAATATATACCTTTTTTCAGAGATTTGAATTTCATAATCATTATATTAGATAGCCAGAAATGCTAGGCTAATATTCCCCTATGTCAATCTTCCTCTAGTTCTGAGTTTCTAAGAAGTTGAACCTAAATACCTCGAGTCTGAATCCACAGTAAAACACCCAACTACAATTGGAATTACAGGGCCAGATTAGAAGGAAACAACTGTTAAGTATCGATAAGCAGCAAGTCAATGGAAATTTTGCAGCTTTCCTGAAAGGCTTGAAGACAAAGATGAAATATTCTGTCTTTAGGCATTTGATTTTCTAAGAAGCAGCCCGGTAGTCCACTGAGACCAAGTCAAGACTCTGAACATAGTCCTCTAGAAGTTTCCTTGCTTCTATCCAGCCATACTTTCAGTACAATACCACCTATAGGGTATGAGTCCAGGCTCTAGGTAAGGACATGTTTTCTGGGTGACCTAATAGGCAACTGTAACTATTTCTGATCCCAAGTTCATTAGAAGACAATTATTCAAACTTTGTAATAGATATACAGTCTTCCAGAAAGAGAGCACAATTCTGGTGGTGGTATAAACTTTCTTTGCCTTCACTAGACTCATATCTGCCACCATCTTGTTCATCAAGGAGGTAATTCAACCCCATGGGTTGACAATTCAGCAATTACAATTTGTAAGTAGATTCGTCTAAGTTCCCCATCTAGAATCACATAGTCTGCATATTGTTCAAGGGAAAATAGCTAAAGCACATCAAACAGATGTCAATTTTTCCATCTCATACAGCCAAGACAATTAGACCACCTACAACTCCTTTCATTTTCACTACTTCTATATGTCTCAACACTGGCTTTTGGTTTGTCTGGAAGATTTATAGATTTCCCAGGAAAACAAAGATAATCTGTTCCAATAAGTTTGAGATAAATCAGCAAAGAAAATATCTAGTTAAAAATACCATCTTGCTTTCCTTCTGTCCTAATATATTTATCTCTGCTGAAAATTCTTGACTACTTTCTGGACCTACTTAAGGTCAAAAAAATTATAAAGTCTTCTTTTTGTCTCAAATTATCCCTGCATTTACATAGCGACCTTACTTTATATCACTTTCACTTTCTGTAAAACTTTGTTGGCTAGGTCTCCTCCCTTCACTTACACATTTTACATCTAAAGGACTGTGGATAACAATTAAACACTGATAAAGTTCCTTTGAGGCTGATATTATTTAGTGGTACTATCCTCTAATCCTCAAGAGAACAATCTACCTTTAGATCATGCCCCCTTATTGACTGAAGACTTTGGCACCTGACACACCATCTTTTTCGGTTGAAATTTTGCCTCTGTCTCAGAATTTGGGACCTAGTTGATTACAACATTCATATGGATGATTCATCCAATAACTTGGTATCTCTGTTACTGGATGTCTTCACCATCAAAACACTTCTCAATACTACATAATTGCCACTTTTGTAGCTACACTCTGGTTCTTGTTACCTTCTAAAACTGCTCACAGAATCAGACACTTCACTCACTGATTATAATCCTATCTTTCCAGGTCGCTCACTTATCTACTCCTTCCACACTTGTTCATTACTTCAAGTCTATTTTCTCTCCTATTTTCTCCTTATTCATTTTGCTGTGTCTTCTCAACCCAGCTTAGGTTCATTGCTTCACATATTCTCTAGTCAGAACCTGAAAGTCTCTTGCAATATTTTCCACCTGACAAAACCTAAATGTGGAAAAAAACAAGGAAATCTTACGGCCCTTATGCCCTATATCTACTACAGGGATTCTGCATACTGCTGGAGAAAAATCATTAAACTAGGTAGAGAATCCTTCTATGGTTCCCCAACTTCCTATCTTATTTTCCACAATAACTGTTTCAAACCTTCCCAATCCTCAAAATTCCAGCTCAGCTGTCCCCTCTTTTATTCTCAGGACATGATCTGACCTACTTCACAAGGAAAATAATCACCTTTAGAATTTGTAAAATTTTGTGTTACTAAATATAGCAGCTATACCTACTCTGACTTTCCCTCCTTTCTAAATTACTGAAGAATTAATTGCTCCTCCTTCTTTTTAGGGCTAATTCCTCTTATACCCGCTGTTTTCTTAGGGACTTATATCCTTAATTACACATATTCTGCATTACTTGTACATTCTATATAGAGAAATCCCATTGTTATGTAAATAATAAAGTAATAATATAAAAATAAAATAACTCTAAATAGAAACGACAAAACACCTTAATCTTATTATTTCCATAGCTAATTGCTCTCACTTTTCTTGCCTCTCACAACCAAATGTCTTGAGTAAATTGATTACACTGTCTCCAATTCCTCAACTTCCTCTCTGTCCCCGATGCATTCCAATCTGGCATTCGGCTCCTCTATTCCACAGAAATGGCTCTTTCAATGTTTATTAATGAACTTCACTCCAAATCTGATATTTTTAAGTTTTTACTTTGACCTCTTAGAATTTGAAAATTTGGATTATTTTATCCTTCTAATGACCTTTTTCCTTCATGCTTCCTCTTTCTGTTTTTTTACTACTATTTTATACCACTCTTCTGTTTTTTTCCTCCTATCTGGCTATTCCTTCTTGGGTCCCTCCTCCTACCTTGTCCTTCTCTAACTGTCCTTAAATGTTGGTAACACATTTCGGAGCTCCTGTTCTTCTCTCATGCTATTCTCCCTCACTAGGCACTCCCATCTACTCCCATAATGTTGATTATCATACGTAATCTGGCACTCCAAAATTCTGACACATTATTCTATGACACATCTCATTCACGAGCTTCTGACTCTTATAAACACTTGCTTACTAAACATCTCAAAGCAAATATTTCACAGACAATTCAAATTCCTTACATCAACACATGGGCCTCATCACCTTCTTTCCCCAAAGGTTTAGTGTTCCCATTGCAATTAATGGCGATTCCATTCATGCTTCAGTCATAAATCTGAGGATCTCCCTTGTCTCTTCCTCTCTTATTACTTAATTCAATGACATACAAATCCTGTTATGTATGCCTTTGTAAAATGTCTTTAATACTTCTCCAATCCACCATCAATAGTTGCCTGAATGATTTCATTTTTTACCTCAAAAATTATCTTCCACAGAAAGGACAATAATTCTCTCAATCCTGATAGCCCTTTAAAGTAAATATATAAATAAAAGTAATACATGTTTTCATAATATTTGTGAGTACACGATAGAAAGCCAAGAAGCAGAAAAGGCAATCTAAAAAAGTAAAAAAAAAAAAGTTTCCATCTTCCATTTCCCATCAGTCGCCCCAAAGATATCTGTTAAAAGCAGCCACCACCACTGCTGCTGCCTCTGCCTCTTCTTCTTTCTCCCTCTCCTCCTCCTCCTCCTCCTTCTTTTCTCTCTCTCTCTCTTTCTGTTTTAGAGACAGGGTCTTGCTTGTTGCCCAGGCTGGAGTACAGTGGCACAATCTAGGCTATTTACAGCCTCTTATCCCTGGGCTCCAGCGACCCTTCTACCTCATCCTCCCGAGTAGCTGGGACTACAGGCATGAGCCACCACACCAGCTCATTATTTTTGTTTTTTGTGGAGATGGGATCTTGTTATGCTGCCCAGGTTGGTCCTGAACTCCAGAATTCCTGCCTTTACTGCACCTGGCCTGCTAACAGCTCCTTATGATTCTTTTCAGAAAAAAATATTTACACAAAGGTTCTCAAAACATATGTGCAGACTACTGTTTTTTAGTCTTTCTCTTGAAATACTGAAATA